CTTATCTTTGGTTTCTATTACCCCTCCCCTTTCTACTCCTCTACCTTCTTTTCTCTTCTACTGGTATTTCGTTACTGGAGGCCTTATAGAGGAACAAGTCTTGATCCTAAACATTACAATATCTATATCGGGTGGGGTAATGCTTATGTTCCAATACATAAGACTAGGGATGAGCTCAGGTTCGGACTGAAGGAAGTGCCATAATTACTTTCACCTAATAAGCTGTGGGGTGAGGAATGCATGTAAACAAAGGAGCGTAATGCTTGTACTGATATTATTTACCTTGTATAGCTATATTGGGTAAGTGTCATTTACCAAATATACTGCAGGTATGTAGCCATACAGCCTACAGCTGATTAGGCGGCTTGGGAGGCGCTCCGTCTGGGCTTGGCTAAGCGCTCCGTCTGGGCTTGGGGACGTGCTCCCTCTGGGCTTGGGGACGTGCTCCCTCTGGGCTTGGGGACGTGCTCCCTCTGGGCTTGGGGAGGCGCTCCCTCTGGGCTTGGGGAGGCGCTCCCTCTGGGCTTGGGGAGGCGCTCCCTCTGGGCTTGGGGAGGCGCTCCCTCTGGGCTTGGGGAGGCGCTCCCTCTGGGCTTGGGGAGGCGCTCCCTCTGGGCTTGGGGAGGCGCTCCCTCTGGGCTTGGGGAGGCGCTCCCTCTGGGCTTGGGGAGGCGCTCCCTCTGGGCTTGGGGAGGCGCTCCCTCTGGGCTTGGGGAGGCGCTCCCTCTGGGCTTGGGGAGGCGCTCCCTCTGGGCTTGGGGAGGCGCTCCCTCTGGGCTTGGGGAGGCGCTCCCTCTGGGCTTGGGGAGGCGCTCCCTCTGGGCTTGGGGAGGCGCTCCCTCTGGGCTTGGGGAGGCGCTCCCTCTGGGCTTGGGGAGGCGCTCCCTCTGGGCTTGGGGAGGCGCTCCCTCTGGGCTTGGGGAGGCGCTCCCTCTGGGCTTGGGGAGGCGCTCCTTCTGCGCTTGGGGAGGCGCTCCTTCTGCGCTTGGGGAGGCGCTCCTTCTGCGCTTGGGGACGTGCTCCTTCTGCGCTTGGGGACGTGCTCCTTCTGCGCTTGGGGACGTGCTCCTTCTGCGCTTGGGGAGGCGCTCCTTCTGCGCTTGGGGAGGCGCTCCTTCTGTGCTCTTTTTGGGCTTGGGAGGCGCTCCTTCTGGGTTTGGTAGGAGCTTAGGTACAGACCAGCTTCAGCACAGCTGTACATACCATATACCCATTTCAGTTTACTGAAACTACTGCATGTTGTTATACTAATGTCTCAAGGTGCCCGTACACCTTGCAATTATCATACGGTCGCACGTCTTTTGTCGAAGGAGCATGCTAGTTACGTTAGTGGCGTGCTCGTTCGACAACTGCGGAAAGGGCCGGCGTGCGCACGCCTCAGCGGGCGGGCTTTCGATGATCGCAAGTACGATCTGCCTGTCCAAGATGGGCAGATCATACAAGCTTTTAATTCGCTTACAACCATCACAAAACAAAAGTCTTGCGATGGTTGTAAGGTGTAGGGGCACCTTTAGTCTCTGTTTAGTTTTGATGTAAATACCACCACTACTGTGTAAGATATTATATTGTCCTCTGGAGCATTGTGACAATATTTCCTTTCTCTTGTTCTTCATTTTAATAATAACAGATTATACATAAATATGGAACATATTGGTAACTGGTAAACTGTGCATTAGGTGTTTGTGTTTGAAAACCTCATTGACTTCTCAGTCATATAAAAGGGCTTTGTAATTGTCCAAAACATTCATTCTGAACGGCTCTGGCTGTAGCAATTCCTCCCCATGTTATGTCCACAAAGATGTAAGGCCAGACTAGTGTAGACTTTGCCCACATGTGCCTCTCTGTGATTGTGCTGTTCTCTTTCCTTACAGAAAGTCCATGATATGCTGAAGAAAGGATGGGATGCAGAGGGTTCTCCGTTCCGGGGGCAGGCGTTTGACCCTTCCTTGTTTAACATTTCCCCGGGCGCTGTGCAGTTTTGAGGAGAAGCGTATAAACGGGACTCTTCAGTTTTCTGTTCCTGCGCAGGTCGACGTTAACACTGTTCCATCGAAAAGACCAAAGCCGCCTCTAAACCATTACAATACACGTCTGTATATTGCGGTGTATTTAAATGGCGATTCAAAGCTGGTTTGTAAACATGTTCAACTGGCCCTTGATAGGGACTGGATTTTTTATACATATTTTGTGAAATGCAGAAACTAGTTCTGTCCATCGCTCAGCTGGCTTTATTAGGACGTTTCTGCAGCTGATCGTATGCCCCTGTGTTAAAGATATTCAAATGTCTGGGGTTGGTTTTGGATTACAGGAGGCTTCCAGGTTAAAAGGGAATCCCTCTTGTAATGTGGATGCTCCTTGTAGTTACTTGGATGGTCCACCCTTTCTCTGTGGTTTGATTTTACCTGCATTAGTGGTGACACCTGGTATTGCACCAAGACCATAAAGACACCAATAGCTCCATAGATCAGGATGAGGGGAAGCTGGAGAGCCTTCTGTGTGTCTACATAGATAGGCGAGGAACGGATAGAAATATCCATTTGAACTGCAAACCTCCGTTAATCATAAGTAAACACTGGGAGAGGAATTTAACAAAACTGGAGCAGACAAAATCTGGAGCAGTTGCCCAGGGCAACCAATCAGCATCTCTCTTAATTTTGTTCAGTTAAGATTTGAAAATGAAAGAGAGAAGCTGATTGGTTGCCTTGGGAACCTGCTCCAGCTTTTGTCTGCTCCAGTTTGATAAATTCCACTCATGATGTTTTTGGCCAGCAGCTTTAGTAGTGATCTAGAGCTAAGAAGAAGATCCATTTTATCCATGTGCTCAGCGATGACACACGCATGTCAAATGGTTTCTTTATTGCAGCGTGTCCTTATACAAGGGCAGCATTGTTTTCTTCCATAATGTATGATATCCTGAATGACCAGTTGGCATCCGCTTCATATTAAGAACAACAAAAACACATTTTAAATCCTATCTCCAGATAACAAAAAAAAAGAAACCTCCCCTTGCAGTGGGGCGGCCTCCGCACTGTAAGGGTTAACTGCTCATTTTTGTCCATGGGGATTATTTAACCCCTTCATGACTGAGGCCTTTTTTTCATTTTTTGTACCCATGTTATATTCCACATTTTAGGCCTGAAAATTACTTAAAACCCCCCAACATTATATATTTTCTGAATGCCAAGACCCTATAGAATAAAATAGTGGTAGTTGCAAATTTTTATGTTGCGCAATATTAGCGCAACTCCTTATTAAACCCCAATATTTAGTGAAAAATGTAATTAAATGCCCCAAAACACAACAAAATACCCATTTTTTTAATGAAATATAAAAGATGAGGTTACAACGAGTAAAACGATACCCAACATGCCCAGGTTACAAATTGCGTGCATCCGTAAAACGGCGAAAAACCCCAGTATCCCAAAAGTCCATAGAAGACGCTTTAAAAGCCCCCACAGGTCATCAATTTAGAGATATCCCAAAATACTGGCCCTAGAATTATTGCTCTCACTCCGGCGTGCGCGGCGATACCCAACATGTGTAGGGCGTTCGTCGTTTTCATACGTAGGCGCACCCGACGCCTGTTTACGTAGCGACGCGCGTGCTCGCGGGGGACTTTAAAAATGTTTTTTTATTATTAGATCTATTTTATTTTATTGAATTTAAAAAACTTTTTTTTTTTTTTTTTTTACTTTACTTTGACTGCTATCACATGGGGGGGCTTGCAAGCCCCCCCATGTAATAGCAGATGGTGGTGACAGGTCCTCTTTAAGG